TTGAAAACATTTAGAGGTTTTTAGTAAGTTGTGGTCTTATCATCGTTAAAGTGGGCGTGCAAAAAGTAAGTTGTTGCTATAAATATACGCTGAAATTTTTTTTGCAACTATTCAAAATAATACAACCAGAAAGTTAAAGTCTGGTTCTCAGTAGCGAYGCACGCACACCCAACTCCATGTTCTCCCTATGAAAAGAAACGATGCAAGCGCAAAAAAAGGAAGATCCTATTTTTCTTGCGTTGGCTTGCACTTGTCCTTATGATTATGCCTGCTTGCGTCGTGCGCTAATGAGAACCAGGCATAAGTTTGTTGGTGGAATATTCCATTTTCTCTCTCTCTCTCAAATGTCAACAGCAAAGTRGAAGATAGCGGAAAATATTTAAAAAAAGTAAATATAGTCGGTAGTCTAATAGCTATCGTGTTTCCTGTTCATACAACAGGCGTAAGTGGATAGAGTGTGAGATCTAAATGTGCTATTAACAGCCATAGACTAGATTTCGTTAAGCTCCGACTGATTAAGATTAATAATCTAGAGAAACGAACTTCTTYGTTTCTCGCGGTTACTAAAAATAAATATCATCATCACAAAGCTGTGTGGGATCAATATGAGGACAAACTTTGAAAAACAAATTAAAAACTTCGGTTACGCGGAAAAAACGTTTCTCCAAGAATTCGAAACAACAAAATATTGTTGGAAAAAACGATATAAATCAATTGAAAGGATATGGGTTTTCTACGAATTGAAAACAACAAGAGAGCTTGTTGCATTATATTTGCATGTGCGCTGCGCTGGGATTGGCTTGTCCGCATTTCAATCCCATGATGCACAATTGTGACGTCATCCGTGCGGAAAACGCTATTAGGAAGAAATTACAATGCACTTGATGTTTGGTTGAAATACGGAATATATTATGAAAAATAATTTATATCAAAGACGCCGGTCTGATTCATCGTTAAAGAGATCCAGGGAAGATAATATACTACCCACTATGCACTATACACCATACACTTATGTATCATTGTTCAACATCTTGAAACGAAACACTTCATACCTCAACAAACGCTTCAACTATTGCTGCCAGCAACTGTTTGCCCAACTCAAATTTGAATCTTGAAACAAGCTATGGAACATTACATTTGGAAGAATTCTAAATATAATTTGTTTAAGCGGAGGGTTTAAAAAAAATCTCGGATTCGTTTTTATTTCGCAAAAAAAAAAAAAAAAAAAGAGGAAAAACTAAAGAACAGGTGGCTTTATTTTGTCAAGAAAAAAAGAAAGGAAGGAAGGAAAAAAAGAAAAGATAGATAGATAAGAAGAGAAATAGTAAAAGATGGAGAAAGAAAAAATGAAGAAAAAAAAGGAAACCATATATTTTTTCTAGGTAGCATTGGCAGCTTTTCATAGGTTTAAAGAAGAGTTTTCTTTGTGGGAGTACTATTTGCCGTATTCAATCATATTATGSTCGATGACCCACAGCGATAAGAGAAGTAATAATGTTCTATATTTAGGACCTCCTGTGGGGCGGCGTTTTTGTTAGAGTTTACTAGAACTGTGGAGAAGATCATCACCTTGCTAGTAACATCGAATTATCAATTTATGGGGGAGGGGGTGTCCTTCTTTAGAATTAAGTAAAACTTTGTTCGCGAAGTGTCGGATATTGAGAGCATATGATTTATATGTGGTGAGAAAAGGGGAGAGGAGGTTTGAGAAAAGAAGGGGAAGGTTGAAGGGAGAGAAAAAGGGTTTGAAGAAAATCTTATATAAATACTAGTTATGCAATGCTTTTSAGTGGTATAAATATCCCACGCATCACTTGTACTTTCTCTGTGTATACACGAGGCTCTAGAAGAGTCTGTATATAAAAAAAGTTAATATAAGTGACAAGTGGAATATTCTATGGTGT